ATCACGGGGCTTGGTGTGGACACAGTCACTTTGAGATGCCTGTCGGACACCCAAATGGAATGTTGGGTTGGCAACAGGACGCATTGCCCGGAGGTAAGGGGAGAGGTCAGGGCTGCAGCCGAAGATGAGCTTTCTGCCAGAAGGCAGAAAGGAGCGTAGAGATGTGGGTAGTGGGTCCCTCCAGCACCCACCTGAATGAGCCTCAGGACTTAGAGCCCAAGACCAATGCTCCTCTGATACTCGTGTTCAGGGGGAATCAAATTGTGCCTAGAAGGGGAAAAGAGATCACTCAAGCATGACCAAGGACAAGGGTACATATGTGTGTCTTTTGTGGGCTGTTGCTGTTTTCAACTCCCTCCCTGAAGGCTATGCTCCCAGTGCTCCTTGTCCCCTGGCTTACAGGTCACTTCCTAATCGGTCTTCCCGCTTCAGCCCTTGTACCCTGCAGTTTCTTCTCCACATAGAACCTAAGCAATTGTTTAAAAACTTGAATAAGATCTTGTCATACACTGCCAGACACTGTTTGGTTGTTCCGCATTGCTCTTATGTCCAGAATTCTCCACGTGGTCCCAGGGCCCCACTTACTTTCCAGCCTTCCCTTATACCTTCTTCAGGTTCCTGAGTACCTGCCACTCCAGTCTTCCTTCCGTGCCCCCAGCACTTCATACTTCCTCCTGCCTCAAGGCCTTTGCACATACTTTTCTGCATCTGGCTGCTAGTTCTTCTTCTCACTATTACTGGCCAACTTCTTGACGACTTTAGGGCCACTGCGGAAACATCAGGTCCTGGGGAAGCCTTCCCTGAACTCTGTGTATCTACATCAGGTTTCCTTGCTACAAGCTCTAGCACCTTCTTCTTTTCTTCATGGTGCTTACCTCGGTTTGCAATTATATGTTAGGGTAAATGCTTGTTGAAGTGAGCCGAATTCCTGGAGCAGGGCCAGATGGTACCAAGGCGTGCTAGAAGTTTCAAGCTCTCAGGGGCTTTGCTGGCTTCCCCTTGCACTTTTGTTGGAAAGGCTGGAGAAAAACGAAGAGGCCAGGGCCTCTGCAAGGAGGTCAGGCACAGGGCAGAGAGAAGGTTGACAGAGCTGCACTGTCAAAGGCCTCCATCCCACCCTTGTCCCCCCCGGGGTGAGGGCACTGAATGCATAAAGGTCATGCATTCTGCTCCTAATCCTTGCTCCTAAGAGCACAAATTATTTATTTTGGAGTTGAAAGTATGTCTTCCCCCCAACCCAAACCTCCACCCTCAAGGTGGCCCTCCAAGAAGAAAAGCTTCTCACTTCCCATGGCTCCAGCAGAAACTGTTTTGGGTCAGGGCCTAGTCTGAACCTATTTCCTTTAAAGAACCTTTGATTCTTAGGGCGCAGATTCCAAAACTTAGAAGCTTTTAAAATATATCCACTATTCAGAGGAACAGCTAAGGTAGTTAGAGTCTTTTTCTATTTTTTTTTTTTTTTATTTGACAGAGAGAGAGAGATCACAAGTAGGCAGAGAGGCAGGCAGAGAGAGGAGGAAACAGGCTCACCGCAGAGCAGAGAGCCCGATGCGGGGCTCGATCCCAGGACCCTGAGATCATGACCTGAGCCGAAGGCAGAGGCTTAACCCACTGAGCCACCCAGGCGCCCCTCTTTTTCTATTTTTATTTTTTTTAAATTTATTTATTTTAGAGAGCGAGTGCTTGGGAGCATGGAGAGGAGCAGAGGGAGAGGGACAAGCAGACTCCCTGCTGAACGGAGTTGTTAAAATCTAAGGAACTTACACACACAGGAGAGTTAAACTCTTTTTCCAGCTGTCCATCCATCCCTCCATCCAAACATCCACTTTTCCGTTGCACCATTGATTGATCCAGCTACTATTATCTAAACATCTATTCTTCTACCAAATGATCAATTAATCTATGTATGTATCCACTGATGAATCCATCCAAACTTACACTCTTCTGTCCATCCATCCATCATCCACCCATCATCCATCCATCCATTCATCCATTATCCATCCATCCATCCATCCATCATCCATCCATCCATCCATCCATCATCCATCCATCCATCCATCATCCATCCGTCCATCATCCATCCATCCATCCATCCATCATCCATCCCTCCATTCATCCATTATCCATCCGTCCATGCACCCATGAACCCAGGCATCCCTCCAAACACCCACTCTTCCATTCATCCGTCTATCCATCCATCCACACATCCACTGGACATAAAGTTGTGTCTGAATGAGGCAGTCATGACCACTGCCTTAGTAGGTCTCATAGGCTAGAGGAGATAAAATTCTCTTTTCAAGCCTGGATCATTCATCCAGTTCTTTGCCAGGTGTGGGGGACAATTGGGTTGATAGTTTTGCCAAAATTATGTCAAGAGTAGTTTCCCAAAGGAACACCCTGGGATGCTGTTATCAGAAGCAGGGAATGATTCCAGGTAGGCAAATCAACAGATGTCCACTAGATTAGAGGGGTTTAATCATTATGGGTGGGTGATGAGAAAGGATGTGGGAGGGTGACACCAGCCCTTCTTTTTTTCTACACCATAAGGACAGGCTTGTTCCTTTGTTTATCCCTGACTGCATTTCAGGATCTGGACTTTGGGTCCTATCATAAGGATCCAAGAGCACCTGTCTCCTTCTAGATACTTGGCTCTAAGTGTCCCAGTCTGGGTCATCACTCCCTCCTCCTCCATCTACATTTATCAGCTTCTCTAAGATGTTTATTGGCTACACCCAGTGTCACTGTGATTATAATTAGGAATTAAAGAAGAGGATCATTTTCTGCTCGGACAACCAGAAAGTACTTCCTAGGTCTCTGAAAGTTGGTGATTCCTGAGGCCAGGCCTGGGTCCCTTGAAATGAAGTGAGAGTCTAAACCAGTGTCTCTCATCCCTGGATACACATTGGAAGCATCTGGGGATGTTTTACAAAACCCTGAGGTCCAGGCCCCACGTTCAAACATTCTGATTATAACTGGTCTCTGGTGGGGCCGGGCCATTGAATTTTTAAACAGCTCTCCAGGTGATTCAAATGCATGACTGGGGTTAAGAACCACTAGTCTAAGTGCAATCTAGAAAACCCTATTCATTGCTGTGTCTCTTTGCTCCCAGGATATGAGCATGGTGAGGGTAGAGATGCTGTCCTGTTGATGGCTGGATCTCCAAAAGTGGTCGCAATGTCAGGTACTTCATGGGCTCAGCAAATATTTGTGGAATGAATGATGATGCCTAGCTTGGCACAAATCCCTTAGTGGAGCAGAGAGGGCTCCTTGTGAAGGATACACATTCCCCATCCTTCCTTGCCTGTGGGGAAGGATTTGAGTCATTCCCCACGTGAGGTCAAGGTGTGGTTCTCTGGGAATCCTAGAACCTCTCCCACCATATCTTCTGGGAGTCTCAACACTGGCTACAGTTTAGATGCATCTGAGGTCATTAAAAAGCAAAACAAAACAAACAACCTTTGGATGTTCTGGTTCCCTGAGGGTTGGTCTGAAGCCTAGACACAGGCATTTAAAAAGTGTTTCGGGGGATTTCTGACATGCTGTTAGGGTTGAAGACCACTGTTCTCATCTCCTTGTCTGCCTCTGTGAGTCTATTTTCTGACTTCAGCCAACTTGGTCAGAGACCCTTGGGAGTGTTTTATTGGAAGTAGGGGGGTAAGTGGTACTGGGTTCTTATGCAGTGTTCCTCAAATGTACTTGTTTTTAACATTCACCTTGGGTGCTTATTTCAAAATACACATTCCTGAGCCTCTACTCCAGACTTACGGAGTCGGACACTCCAGTGAGAGCCTGGGAAGCTGTGTTTTTAACGTGTCCAGATGTACTTGTTACCAGCCAACCTCTCCAACTGCACTGGCCTCCTCGCTTGCAGGGCACACAGAGCCCCTTCCGGCTTTAGCTTCCCTTTGGTTCCACTGCCAGGACCGCCCCCCCCATCATTTAGGTCCATCCAAATGTCACTGCCCCCCCACCCCGCCACCTGACCATCCAAGAGAAGAAAGCCTCTCCAGGTGCCAACCCTTACTTCCTACTCCTGGTGATTCCTCCCAGCACGGTTCAAGATGATCTTTCTTCTCTGGTGTATCACCTTCATGTCTGCCCCTACCCCTGACCTGAGCTTCTCAGGGCATCAGTGCCTGGTTCAGGCTGGGTCCCTGGCACTAGGCACCTGACAGGGGGTCTAAGAGGTACAAGAGTCAGGGTGGGGCTTCGCTCTCAGAGTATCTGGGATTCTTTCCCAGGTCCTGGGAAACCGCGTTCAGGGATCTACAGGTGACTGAACGGTAGGTGAAAGTCATGCCACAGCTGTGGGCACCCAGAGACCACCCCTGGAGGCGCAGTCTGCGGCGGAAGGGAATGGGTGCCCCCTCCCCCCACCCCGCCTGAGAGAAGAAAGGAAGGAAAAGAATGGATCAGCTGATCATTTAGGGCACACTACAAGTGGCAGGCGCTTTCCAGTCTAGGTCCCGGCTCCTGCAGGGCCGCTGCCTCCCCGCGGGGAGGGAGGGAGGAAGGGTGGGAGGCGGCAGGTCGCAGCGTGGCCGCCCGGGAGCACCCGGCAGTGGTCCCGGCCTGTTGCTCCGCTCGGGGACCGGGTGGTGCGGCCCCGGCCGGCGGGCGGCCTCTTTCCTCTCGGGCGCCCGCCCGCCTGCCTGCCTCCCCCTCCCGAGCTCCCTCCCCCGGGGCCCGGCTGGCGGCCCCGCCCCCGCCGGCCCGGCCGCCCTGTCCCCGCCTCCCCCTCCGCGGGCTGCAACAGGTGCCTCCCGGAGCAGGAAGCTCGCGCCGCCGCCGCCGCCGCCACCGCTCAGCTCCCCGGGCGCGTCCAGGACCCGCTGCGCCAGCGTGCCATCCCCGGGCCCGCGTGCGTCCCCTCGAGGACAGGGACCCCGCCGCCTCTCCGCCCCGCTTCCTGCCCCTTCCCGGCCACCCCCCCCCCCCCCCCCGGCGGGGGCCCCGAGGGGGGCCAGCCCCCGCTCGCCCCCCCCCCCGCCACCACCCCCCCGCCGCTTTGCGCGCCATGGACGCCCCGGAGCAGCAGCCCGACCCCGACGGCGGGGACGCCCCGGGCCACGAGCCCGGGGGCAGCCCCCAAGACGAGTTCGACTTCTCCATCCTCTTCGACTATGAGTATTTGAATCCTATCGAAGGTCGGTGGAGGCTCCTCCCGGCCTGCCCCCGCCCCCCCGAGCGCGGGTGGGGGCTTGGGCCTGCAGAGTGGGCACGGGGCCCCGCTTTGGTCCCCATGTCACACTTTCCGGGGCGCCGGGGGGAGGGTGCGCCTGGAAGGAAGAAGGGAGAGTGCGTCTCCCCAGGTGAGAGGGAGGGTATGAGGCGTCTGGGACTGTTGCCACCCTTAGGGGGCGGTAGGCTCACTCTTGCCCAGTAGGGCGTCAGTCTCCAGCTACTGGTGACTTCTCCCTGAGGGTCGCCGGCAGCAAAGCTGGAGGTGGCAGGGGCCTCAGCTGGCTCTGGCCTGCTGCAGGGTCTTCGGAGGGGAAAGGAAGTGGTTGATTTGCCTCTGGAGGAAGGAGTCGCGGAGACCAAAGAATGGAGTCAGTAGGGAGGGAACGTGCCCAAAGAGGTTGCCGCTGAGCGCAACTCTAGGGGCCTGGGACGTTGACCCTCCCCTCCCCGACAGCCAGCCCAGCCCGGTGGCTGAGTTTGTCAGGGACTCCGTGTTGAAACTCGTGAAGAGTTTGTCTGAGCCTGATGCTGGAGGGTGGTTTGGCTTCAGGGTGAGGGAGCCCGCCCATCTCGTCCCTGAGTTCTGCGGCCGCCTTTGTGAATGAGCCGGAATGGATCAGTCTGAGCGGTTACCCGATCCCCTAGCCGCCCGGTCGTCGCAGTTGTGGATGTGGGGTTTGCGGGGGAAGGCTGGCATGTGGACTCAGGAGGAAGAAGCCTATTCTTGCCTTAGCGACCTGTCAGTCTCCGCTCGTAGGTGCCCGATGTGGCTGGGGACTTCCCCAGGCTGGGCCATCATTTCACGTGGTCTAGCAGGAGCATTTGTCAGAAGGGGGAGGAGGTCGTATGCCCAACCTCACTGTATTTTTCTGGTTAGCAGGTTGTCTTGGAAAAAACAGCAAAAAAGAAAACACAAAAAACACACACACACAGACACACACATAGAAAAAAACCCAACCCCAACCAGGCTTCCTGATTTTGATAGCCCAGCCCAGCTAGTGCTTGCTGAAGCCTCAGGGGCAGGCCTGTTGGTAACTTCCAGATGCATTCGGGCTTGGCCGCATCCGGAGTGCAGGAAGGGGTTGCGCGGGCTGCTTTGTGTAGGAGTCCTTTTCACGGGTATCTGGGGGCTCGGTGCCTCCCGGAGATGCTCTGTAAGGCAGGTGAATGAGAGGTTTTACCTTTCCTTCTCTCCTGGTCTTCCCTGGCCATGTTAGGTGAGGGGCTTGCTTTGGCTTGGATGCCAAGTCAAGATGGCAATTAGTAAATTATTCTGTATTTTGGCTGGAGATGGAAATAATTAGTCAGCAAAAGAGACCAGTCTTCTCAAGTTGCAATCTGGAGGCCATCCTTTGCTTTGAAAAGATACAATTAAGAATCTGCAAACGATCCCTTTAAGGGTCCTTTAACATCCGTGGTCTTTGTTTGTTAAGATTAAAGTCATGTTTTGCAGGGAACTAATACTCACACCCCTCCCAGATTCACAATCAGCTAACTTCCCCCCCCCTTTTTTTTCCCTTTTTTTGCACAGGGGAGATCTCCGGGGAAATAGTTTCCAAGCCAGATCTGATGGGAGGTGCTTTTTATAGTTTTTCTTGGCAAGTGGTGCTTGGTGGCTGCCAGATGGGTATCTAAATGGCCACAGTGAAAAACCCTGGAACCATTAAAACAAAACAAAAAAAACCTGAAAACAAAAACCCCAAACAAACAGCAAACTTTATTTTTTGGAACAGTTTGAGAGTCAGAGAACAGTTGTAAAGAAAATAGAGGGAGTTGCTCTACCCCGAGCACCCAGGTCCCCATTTTATTTACATGACATTAGTATGGGTGTATTTGTTCCCATTCATGAACCAATACCGATGCATTATAATGAGCTAGAGTCCATGTTGTCCTGCTTGTTATGAGTGTGACATTTTGGAGGAGCGCTGGTTAGGTCAACTGTAGAGAGTGCCTCAGTTAGGGTCTTTCTGGTGTCTCCCTCATGGAAAGACTGGGACTGTGTGTTTGGAGGACAAAGACCACACAGCTGAAGGGACTGTGTCCATCACATCCTATCAAGGGTACCTGTTATCAACTTGATCACCACTGATGCTGACCTTGACCAGTTTGGCCAAAGTAGTCTTTGTCAGGCTTCTCTATTGTAAAGGCCCTCCTTTCCAAACGGTGCTCTTTGGAAAGGAGTTCCTGCCTGGTGGGGGCTTTGCTCTGGAATCTGAAGATGATGGTTCCTTGCTGGAAAGTAGGCAGCATCGTGGCTGAGGAAGAGAAGGGCTGTTGTGAGTCTTGGGAGGCAGAGCGAGCTCTTCCAGATGTGGGACTGGCTCTGGCTTACCCAGATGTTAATGGGGTCACCTCTCTGCTTGTGAATGGTGGAACTCCCCAAGGACTGACACTAGCCTTTAACTTGCTGTTGGGCTTTGTCCCAGGTGACAATACATGGGTGATGCGTGTGACGGCTACTCTCAGCTCTGTGCCTGACTTGGCAAAAGTCAAGGAGAGAGGTCCGGTGGATGGAACAGACGTTGTCAGAACTTGGTGATGGGACTTAGGAATTTGGGGGAGGTCAGATGCTCATTTTATGGAACTGGAACATCGTAACAGATGCGTATTAGCTCGTGCAGTGACGCTCCGACCCTAGCAGGTGGGCACTATTGTCACCCTTAGTTAAGAGGAGACAGTGAGATGTGGAAAGGTGAAGGAATTTTCCCAAGAGAGCAGGCCTGGTAAATGGCAGAGCTGAAACATGAACTTGGCTGTCTTGCCCCAGAGCCTGCGTTCTGGACCACTGTGTGCGGGTTCATTTTGCGAGACGCAAAGCAGCTTGTATGGGGCCTGGCACTGTGGCAAGACTGGAGTTTAAAACATTTACCAATAGAGTGGTCTTGGGTGAGTCATTTAACCTCTTGGGACCTTGGTTTGCTTATCTATCAAATGGCTGAAATAATAGCATTTATCTTAGTGGGTTGTTTGCCTTGAATGGCTTGACCTTTTATTTACTTAAGATGTATTTATTTATTTTAGAGAGAGAGAGAGGGAGGGAGGAAGTGGGAGGTGCAGAGGGAGGGAGAGAATCTCCAGCAGGCTCCATGCCCAGCGCGGAGCCCGACATGGGGCTTGATCTTATGACCCTGAGATCATGATTTAAGCCGAAATCAGGAGTCAGACACTCAGCTGACTGAGCCACTCGGACACCCCTTGACCTATTTAAGTCAATACAGAGTGTGATTTGTTACTAGCATTTTATTAAACCCTTGGCTTTTAATAGAGGCGCTCAGTTAATGTGAGCCATTACTCATTTACTCGTCTGGCTATCTGTCGAGCATCTATTATGTTAGATCCTGGGGCTAATAGGGAGTAAGACCCAGGCCCTGCCCTCACCGAGCTAGAGCCTCTAATTATGTTTCTCTGATTTTCTCTTGTCTAATGGCCTTCACTAGTAATACCTTCAGACGTCTGCTACATAGTAGTGGGAATGGTAGGCACCCTTGCCTTGTTTCTGATCTGGGCAGGAATACCTTAGGTGTCCACTTTAGGACTGAAGTGTATGGATTTTATTATGTTAAGGAAGTACCTACTCGTTACTATTTTCTTGAGGGTTTTGCTTAGGAATGAGAGTTGAATTATGTCATAGATGTCTTGGGTCTATGGAAAAATGATTTTATTCTTCTTAGATCTATTTGTATGCCAACTTACACTAATCGATTTCCAAATATTGAACAATTCCTGGTTTAAACCCCACTTGGTCACTTATGGTGGTGGGCTGGTGTCTGATAATATTTAAGGTTCCTCTTGGCAGTATTCGTGAGTGATATTAGTCTGTTAAGACCTTTTTGGTGTGCTGTTAGGTTCGGATTTCTTTCCTTTTCCATGCTCGGGAACAACGTGTGTATTGTTGGGACTATCCCATTTCTAAAGCTGTGATAGAATTCCCCTGTGAAGCCATCCGGACCTGGTGCCTTTTTATGGGGTTGTTCTCTGATTGCTGCCTCTCTTCTGTTCTCTGTTGTCTATGGGAATTGGTCTGTTTAGCACTTTCTGTGTCTACTGGAGTCAAGTTTGGTAAGCCATATCTTTCTAAGAAATTATCCATTTTACTTATCTAGGTTTTCAAATTTATTTGCTTAGAGGCATGCAAAGTATGACCCTTACCATACTTAGCTGTCTGCCTCAGCTGAAAAAAGTAACAGAAAGAACGAGGACAGAGCGGGGGGAGTCTTGACCAGTGCTCCTAACCTCATCGTGGAGGGAAGAGAGGTGTGCTGGTTGTCAGTGAACAGATTAGAAGTTTCATTCCTTTGTATGTACTCATGAATTCAATGAAATGAATTAGTACTTCTCCCAATGTCTAAAACACTGGGAGAGATGGATGGTCCTGGGAGTCCCTATCACCTCCAGAAGTGCCCCATCCCCTCTGGACTGTGTTGGGGACTGACCCACTGGGAGTGATCCCTGCTGGTAGGCCTCAGTGGGTCTGGTGTGTCCCTCCTGATAAGCTAATGCAAATGGCACCAACCTCGACCTTTCAGGCCTCCTGGTCTTACAGAGTCAATTCTGGTGGTCCTTAAACGTTTGGGTCACAGCCCTTTTGCAAAGCTAATGAAAGCCACAGATCCCACATGCACACACACTGTAGGAGGCACGTGTACACACCTATCAGGCACGTACATGCTGTGCACGTGCATAACCCATGCACGCCCCCCTCCACTTCCCCTCTGCCCTCCCCGTGCCTTTCATACCGCTTTCAGGTGGACTCACAGACCCCGCTGGACCCCATCCCCTCTTGTCACCTGCATTTCCACTCAGGAACACCTGCTCTCAACCCATTCCCGGGGACAATTAAAACTTCATTCTTTCAGCAAACACTCGCTAAGTGCTGGTTTGGTGCCAGGCCCTGGAGGTGGAGGAGGGTGGTGTGTAGAGACAATTAGATGTGGTCCTCCCCTTGCCTGGCCCCCAGGCCAGT